ATTGGTAAATTCACTGAAGGAAGATCAAAGACTTTTTCAAGGAAATGAGAAATTGCAATAATATGAGGGCTGAGAATAAACACATCAGTTCCTGCTTAGTCTGTATTCAACAACACTACAGCTAAACCCCCTGGATACACTGGTAGATTTTACCTCATTGTCCCACCTTCTCCAAAATGTCTTTCTCTACAGGAAAGTGGCAAATGGAATATTCAGAGAATAAGAAAAGTAAGCTTGCCTGTTTCCAAGAAACTGGAGAAAATAACTCATTATCATAATAAACCCAAATCTCAGGTTTTCTGAACAATTAATGCATAATAGGAAAAAATTATTCTCTCCACTCCTTCTATACATGTGTATCTGTGTTTAAGTGTGAGCAGTTAGCAACTGTACATCTTCCCTCCAATATGTAAGGCACTTTCTTTCAGAAATATGGAATATCAGTAACCAAATATTTTGCTCCAAAGTATAAAAGAATGCTTCAGAAATGGCATGGCCATTCTTTCTTTCAAAGAGCTGAATGTCTTGTTTTAGGGTTGTTCTACAGTTTTAATAGCAGAAGGAGAGGAAACTGCATCTAGGAGGCAAAGTATTTAATTACCTTTTAAAAAAATGGCTACATTGGATCGAGCAATATGTGTAACATATTTGTGCATAAAACCGTGATTCAAACATCAGGAAATGAAGGTTCCACCAACTGGAGTGTACACCTATTGTCATGGTCTCATAAGGGATGTCCCTCCATTTTAAAAACTCCAAAGGAACAAGAGCCCATAGTTCCTTTTCTGCGTAATTTGTAGATCATGATATATTCCAACAATATTCTTTAGGAGAAAGTTTCCCAGCAGGCGTAGATGAAACAGAGGAGGGAGAAAAATCAAAAAGCACACAGGAGCCCCGAGGATGAAAAAGGAGGCTCCAGATCTGTTTTCACAATGAACGTACCAACTGTAAGTCCTTTGTTACTATTATTATTGTCATGATTAATTGCTGTACAAAGACGTTTATTTTCTCTGCTTTCAGTCTAGGGGTTTTAGGGTAAATATAAACAGAATCGTCAAGAAAATTGCATTCTAAATGCAAAATACTTGTTTCATTTGCTAAATAAAGTGATGCCATTTTCCCTACAATGAAGCCCATAAAAATTATACCCAGGCTGCTAGCACTCAAAATAGAAACATTCCAATTCATTTATGTTATTATCACATTAAAACATCCTTTAGGAAGTTTGCCCATGAATAAGGGATTGCTTTAATTTGCGGATTACCCTTCAGAAAAACTTAATATGACACTAAACAAAAAATTACCAGCAATGTATCCTCACTGGGGCTTTATTTTTTTTTAAAGGCAGAGAATAGAAAGCTTTTCTGCAGAAGTTTTTCAAAGAGCACCTACATTTCTCCTACAGGCCCTAAGAATGTTCAAAACTCTGTAACATTAAATGGAAATTAAATAATCCATAAAGGCATGCACTTGGACTTTTTATTGAATATAATTTCTGTTAAAATCTGTAAGAAAATTAGCAACTAAATCTTTAAAAAAAAAAAGAAGTTAGGGTTGTCAGCCTTGCCTGACCATGCTTTATATGACTCAGCATAATAGCAGCTGTGCGAGTTTTTATTTTACTGCCAATGGATGGGCAAGGAACGTAGCTGAGTAACATGCAGGCCAGTCAAAAGTCACTGATTATATTTATATATGTACAACTTGCTTGGGTAACCTGGATAAAAGTGGTGACACGAGCTTTTGGCTGGTTAAAAAACACCAGCGCTGCATTCTTGATGGCTCCAGCTTGATTTTACCCCTGTGAGAAGTAAGAATGGTAAGCAGTGAAGGTCACCATACATACTACTAAATTTCACTTCAAAAAAATAATCATTCAAGCACGGATTCAACATTATTAAAATCTCTAAAAGAAAAATCGGTTATTCAAAATCACAAAAGGAATTACATTAAATATAATCAAAATAACGTAACTGTGAAAGCGTACACGATTATGACATGTGCATATTATTTAAAATTATGACAATTTTAAATGATAGATAATCTACAGAAAATTACCAAAGAATTACACAATTTGGCAAAGATATAGCACTTAGTTCAAACACCTAAATAACCTATGAGTTCACTCAGTTCGCTGTATCAAAAGAAATTTATTAGACATTCCAAAACAAGAAAAATGCTTCATTTTTTCTTTAAGAAAAAAAAAAACTAGGAAAGGAACAGCAAAAACCTCATGCCATTTCTTACTACAATTTCATCCCACCAGGTTTAAACAATGAGCCAAAACGACTAGAAGACTAATACTAAAGAGAAATTTCAACTGAGAGTGTTTAAAATTCTTGAGTAATTGCTTCAATTCTGTTTAATGTTCTACGATAGCGCTACCAGGTAAAATGCTGAAAGATTAAAGCCCACATATTCTCCCTTCCTAAACTATTATCTTAGTCCTTTTTCATTTATGAATCTATATCTGGAAAGTTTGATATAATGCCATAGTTAAAAATTCCTCCAAATAACTTTAACACTAAGGCAACAGTCTCTGCTATGGGAAGGTAAACGGCTTCCACACCTTAAGTAATAAATAATTCTGTGAAAAAGTTCTCTGCTTCGGGCAGCACCTGTGGCTCAAGGGAGTGGGGCACTGGCCCTATGCACTGGAGGTGGTGAGTTCAAACCTCAGCCCCGGCCCAAAACTGCAAAAAAAAAAGTTCTCTGCCTCTAATTTCCAAAATACTAAGTTCACAAACATTTTGGAGGACTTAACTCAGAGTTAACTAGGAACAAAAGAGCTTAATGGTAACAAGAGAAACTAGGAAGGGAGTTTAGATTTTCCCTGCAGTAAACCCCACCTTCCTGGATGTCCATTCCTCTCATATCAAACAGAATGGCTCAAGGTGAGGCAAAATGCATGCTCTTTTGGAAAGAGCTTTAAAATTTCTGAAAGTTATGAAGATTGGATGTTAAATTAAGCACGCTTCAAAGATATTCAAACGTAGTTAAGAGCTTAAACTACCTGATGGCTTTGACATTTGATTCTTTATAATTCATTCTCATACCCTAAAACTGAATATGTACGAAAATAAAAAGTGATTTTCTTTACTATGAGAAAAATATCCACTATTGGGCATACTGCCAAAATAAAGACAAGAGACCATACATTAAAATTATAATGACCCGATTCTATTTTCTAAACACTGAACTTCAGCTTCGATTAGCATATAGCACAAGAACTCGGGCCCTACTTTTCAGTATAACCCAACTAACTACGCGCATCCAAAATTTCGTTCACAGGAAGAATTCTTTGCCCTGGGCTATAAGGTTTTCCTACTTTGTCCTGAAGTGTCCTCAGTTATTTTGTGCAACTGGTAGCTATGACCTGTTATTTATACCTTAGTGTTTAGTAACTCTATTTAAACATTGTCTCCTTTTCATATCTAACCTCTGTTTCTACCTAATCACTGCACTAGCACCACTATCTACCTTCTAAACAAGAAAGAATGGAAACTAGCATATTCTTTAGTCATTTTATCAAAGAAATATAATAAATACAGGGTGTCCATAAAGTTCATGTGCAATTTGTGTATTTCGAATTGCAGACAAGCTTTATGGACACCCTGTATAGGAATGTATCTGAATTTTTCCTCATAATCTTGACTGATCTCTAATTACCAAGACAATGTTATACTCCTTAAATTCTGTCAATGCCCCAAACTTATCCATATCATTTTTCTTCCTTAAAATAAGAACAGTAACAGAGGCCTTTATCTTCCCTGCCCAACAATTCTAATGAAAATGAAAAAGGGACATATTTTTGGCTTTATTACTTTTATTTGTTTATGCATGCTTAAACTAGGGGGAATTTTGTCTTCATTTTTGTATAGTTGAAGAGTGAAACAGGATGGTTTTAAATTCCTTCCCCACTTTACCCTCAACTTTGCACTTATTAATCTATAGGTTAATAGCAAAATAAACTGAAAACATACTCTGGTACTCCTACCTTTCTTATAAAAGAATACATTAGGGCAGCACCTGTAGTTCAATGAGGAGGGTGCTGGCCTCATATACTGAGGGTGGCGGGTTCAAACCTGATCCCGGCCAAACTGCAACCAAAAAATAGCGGGCTGTTGTGGCGGGCACCTGTAGTCCCAGCAACTCGGGAGGCTGAGGCAAGAGAATCGCCTAAGTCTGAGAGCTGGAGGTTGCTGTGAGCTGTGATGTCAAAGCACTCTACTGAAGGCGATGAAGTGAGACTCTGTCTCTAAAAATAATAATAATAATAATAATAATAAGATACATTAAACTGCCAAGACTTACTGAGTTGGTAAATTTAGAATTTTGCATTCTATAACACATTAAGGCTTTTTGTTCATTTAAACAGCAAGCCCTGAGCTTGGTAGGATTATATATATTTTTAGTGTAATTCCTCACCTTTTCTTCCTTAAAATAATTACTTAATGTAAACTGAAACTACATGGAAATATCAAGTCAATCATATTTTGCATTAGTAAATAAGCCTGTACAAACTAAGTAAGATCACATTTTATATACTTGGTCTTAACCAAAAGGCAAAAAAAAAAAAAAGATAATATCACCTTTCATGAAGTATATCATAGTAACCAAGAATATGCAAGAGAATTGGAATTATCCTCCCATCAGTTACTTTCCCAGTACATACAAAAGCTACCCTTGCAGGCAAATAACAAGGCAGAAAGCAGAGAAACCGAGGCATTTTCAAAAATCTAAAATTATTTTATAAAACACTTCAAAAAATTCATATTAACCTGCAGATTAATATCAAAATAACTCAGCCTATCATTTGTCTAGCTGTATTCTAATTTGCCATTAATTTAGTATCACCAATTTTGTCATAGAAAATATATTTATCAGTATTTTCGATTTTCTTATAAGAAGGAAACATACAATTTTTAAAAATCTGATGATTTTAAAGTAACAGAAATACCTAATACCCAAACATCTCCTTATTGAAATATGTTTACCTCTTTGCTTTCTTCCATATCTGACTCACTGCTGAATTCTTCAGTATTTAAGTTTTCAAAGTCAGATTCTCCAACAGCAATCGGTACCGTCACAGTGAGGCTGGGGTTGTTTATAAACGACATGTAATCGCTTTCATCCACGACGTACTTTTCTACACTGCTGCCTATGCCACTAGTAGTTCCATTTCCATCTTTGAGATAATTGAGGTCTTTGCCAATTTCTATGGTGGTATGGTTGGAAATACAGCTGTCCTTCTTGTTATTTAGATCTTCAAGAGGTTTAATTTCATCTAAAGCTTTCTGTTTTCGAACAAAGGCTTTCTGAATAAATTCCCGTAATTTTCTTTTAACAAAATCGATTCCCTTCTGCATCCTTCCCACAGCAATCTGGAGATTGTTCATTTCATTATCATCATCAGTGGCAGCGAGATTGTCAGAACTGAAGGAACTCAAAAGCAAGGCCAAGAAGAGATTCAGAACCTACAACATAGTAGGAAAACAGGTGACCAAAATATTCTGTTGTTTCAGTTGCTCTTAATCATGCATTTTCCAAAATTGTTCTTGATATAGCCAGTCCCGAGTTATAAACATTCGACTGATGTATGACTCACACTTACAAAAGGGGCTATTAGAGATAATAGGTAAATAGACCTGTTCCAATTCACATACAAATTTAACTTAAGAACAAACCTACAGAACCTATCTCATTTGTGACCCAGGGCCTGTCATTTTAGCTAACAGACAATTCCGTTAATTCACAATAAACTATTCTGAAAACAAAGTGAATGAAATAAATACCTGACCAATGTCAAATAATATTATTAACACTATTTCCATTTTAGGCATTGCAAAAACATTGAAATCATTGTTACAGGAAACTTCTATATTAAACTCAATTCCTAAAGAGAAATATAGATGAGTGTATTTGTGAAAAAAAAGTGAAAAAAAGTTTTATTTTGATCACTAAATTTTATTTGGGGATCCTAAATTTTATTTTGACCATGTAATCTAGAATTCCTAAGACATGAATAATTTATTATGGCTTTTTTCCTAAGTGAAAGATGATTTGAATATATTTAAATATGATTTGACTTTTGTGCCTTTACTCTTAGATAATTTGGAAATTAGAGAAAAATTTATTTATTTATTCATTCCCAGATAAGAAGTCCCAGTTTTTGGTTCAGAAAATCATGGCCACTATAATTATACAGTAGTTGGGAATACTATAAGAAATTATTATACAATATAATGATGGTAATATTAAATCTAGAGTTGTGGTATTGTGTTGCCATGAATAAGGTCACTAATTTATCTATAAATTGAGTCTGCAAAAATAGTCTTCACTGGTATGAATGAGTGAAAAGATTAGTGATGTTAAACCTACTGTGTGCACTAAAGAAATAATAATGTACTGAGAAATCAGGAATTCCACGGCTCATGTGACTGAGTCACATGTTTCTTTTCAGGGTTTGGTTGATAATGTCCATAGTTCCTGATTATTTGAGCAGACAGAACACAAGGAGGACATAGCAGTAGAGGGAGACAAATGCAAAAGTAAATACAGGTTGACACTCCCTTTCCTGAGATATTTAGGATAAGAAAAGTTTCAGATTTAGGATGTAAAAATATTTACATATACAAAAAGAGATATCTTAGAGATGGGGCCGAAGTCTAAACATGAAATTTATTTATCTAGCCTATACATCTTATACACATAGCTTGAGAGTAATTTTACACAATAATTTTAATAATTTTGTGCATAAAATTTTGACTGTGTTTTGACTATGATCCATTACAAGTCAGGATGAAATTTTCCACTTGTAGTGACCTGTCAGCATTCAGAACGGTTTGGATTTTGAAGCATTTTGGATTTTAGATTTTGAGATTAGGGATGCTCAACCTAAAGCACAGAAAAGAAATCCTAGGAAATTTTTTAAAAGTAAAACTCCTATGAAAAGGATGCTAAGGCTCGGTGCCTATAGCTCAACCGGCTAAGGCGCCAGCCACGTACACCTAAGGTGGCGGGTTCGAATCCCCAGCCCGGACCCGCCAAACAACAATGACGGCTGCAACCAAAAAATAGCCGGGCGTTGTGGCGGGCGCCTGTGGTCCCAGCTACTTGGGATGCGGAGGCAGGAGACTCGCTTGAGCCCAGGATTTGGAGGTTGCTGTGAGCTGTAATGCCACGACACTCTACCCAGGGGGACAGCTTGAGGCTCTGTCTCCAAAAAAAAGAAAAGGATGCTAAGCTTTTTTGCCTCAGTCTGAGCTGTAGCTGGCAGCGAGGCATACATGCTTTGAGAGCTCCTGTACCTTCCGCCGCTGCCGACATAGCTTGTTTCCTCTAGATTTGTCTGCGCCACTTGCCCGAAACACACTCCACCATCGTAAGCTGCTATCATGGTGAAGCTTGCAAAGGCAGATACAAATCAAAGTGACCCCAAGAAAATGGCTCCTCACTTGATGGAGGTAGAAGAAGACAGTGAAAATGAGGAAATGTCAGAAGATGAGGATGATGACAGCGGTGAGGAAGAGGTTATCGTCCCTCAGATAAAGGCAAGAAGGCTGCTGCAACCCCAGCAAAGAAAGTGGTGGTTTCTCCAACAAAAAAGGTTGCAGTTGTCACACCTGCCAAGAAAGCAGCTGTCATCCCCGGCAAAAAGGCAGCAGCCCCACAGGCCAAGAAGATGGTTACTCCAGCCAAGGCAGTAACAACACCTGGCGAAAAGGGAGGCACACCAAGCAAAGCATTGGTAGCAACCCCTGGTAAAAAGGGAGCTGCCACTCCAGCCAAGGGGGCAAAGAACGGCAAGAATGCCAAGAAGGAAGACAGTGATGAGGAGGAGGAGGAGGAAGATGCGAGGAAGAAGAGGATGGATTTGAACCAGCAGTGATGAAAGCAGCAGCAGCTTCTCCTGCCTCGGAGGACGAAGATGATGGTGATGATGAAGATGAGGAGGAGGAGGAGGAGGAGGAGGAGGAGGACTCTGAAGAAGAAGCTATGGAGACCATACCAGCCAAAGGAAAGAAAGCTCCTGCAAAAGTTGTTCCTGTGAAAGCTAAGAGTGTGGCTGAGGAGGAGGAGGAGGAAGATGACGAAGATGACAATGAGGACGAAGATGAGGATGATGAGGATGGTGATGATGAGGAGGAGGAAGAGGAGGAAGAGCCTGTCAAAGAAGCCCCTGGAAAATGAAAGAAGGAAATGATGAAACAGAAAGCAGATCCTGAAGCCAAGAAACAGAAAGTGGAAGGAACAGAACCAGCTACATCTTTCAATCTGTTTATTGGAAACCTGAAGTCTAACAAATCTGCTCCAGAATTAAAAACTGGTATCAGTGATGTTTTTGCTAAAAATGATCTTGCTGTTGCGGATGTCAAGGTTGGTATGACTAGAAAGTTTGGCTATGTGGATTTTGAATCTGCTGAAGACCTGGAAAAAGCCTTGGAGCTCACAGGTTTGAAAGTCTTTGGCAATGAAATTAAAGTAGAGAAACCAAAAGGGAAAGACAGTAAGAAAGATCGGGATGCCAGAACACTTTTGGCCAAAAATCTTCCTTATAAAGTCACTCAGGATGAATTAAAAGAAGGGTTTGAAGATGCTATGGATATCAGAATAGTCAGCAAAGATGAGAAGAGTAAAGGGATTGCTTATACTGAATTTAAGACAGAAGCTGATGCAGAGAAAACATTTGAAGAAAAGCAGAGAACAGAGATTGATGGGCCATCCATTTCCCTGTACTACAATGGGGATAAAGGTCAAAGTCAAGACTATAGGGGTAGAAAGAATAGCACTTGGAGTGGTGAATCAAAAACTCTGGTTTTAAGCAACCTGTCTTACAGTGCAACAGTAGAAACTCTTCAGGAAGTGTTTGAGAAGGCAACTTTTATCAAAGTGCCCCAGAACCAAAATGGCAATTTTAAAGGGTGTGCATTTATAGAATTTGCTTCATTTGAAGATGCTAAAGAAGCTTTAAATTCCTGTAACAAAAAGGAGATTGAGGGCAGAGCAATCTGGCTGGATAACAAGCACCCAGAGGATCACCTAATGCCAGAAGCCAGCCATCCTGAGGATACCACTGAAGAGACATTGAAGGAGTTATTTGACGGCTCTGTTCGTGCATGGATAGTCACTGACAGGGAAACAGGGTCCTCCAAAGGGTTTGGGTTTGTAGACTTCAACAGTGTGGAAGATGCCAGAGCCACAAAGGAGGCCGTGGAAGATGGTGAAATTCATGGGAACAAAGTTACCTTGGACTGGGCCAAGCCTAAGGGCAAAGGTGGCTTTGGGGGTTGTGGTGGAGGCAGAGGAGGCTGAGGCAGATTTGGTGGCAGAAGCTGGGGAGGCTTTGCAGGCTGAGGAGGCTTCCGAGGTGGAAGAGGAGGAGGAGACCACAAGCCACAAGGAAAGAAGACAAAGTTTGAATAGCTTAATTGTCCCCGTGTCTTTCCCTCATCTGTTTGAAAAAAAGGACTCTGGAGTTTTTACTGTTACCTGATCAATGACAGAGCCTTCTGAGGACATTCTAAGACAGTATACAGTCCTGTGGTCTACTTGGAAATCCATATAGATAACATTTCAAGGGTGCTACCCTGTTGGTTTTGACTGGATATTCATATAAACTTTTTAAAAGAGATGCGTGATAGAGCTAACCCTTATCTGTAAGTTTTGAATTTATATTGTTCCCCATCCTATGTACAAAACCATCTTTCCCCACAAAAAAAGAAAAGAAAAGGATGCTACATTCTTCCTTGATTCTTATCGTCCTATCATGTTAATAAGGCTTACACTTTTGTCTAACTATTGTAAGTTAGTGTAAAAAACAAAGGGAAAAATGTGCAAGATCCAACAAGGACTATGTGTAACTTTAAGAGAACCCACTGCCACAACTGCCAATCACTCCATCTTGGCTCCTGGTAATTACAGCATGACCTGCTCTTTTACCTCTGAGATGTACCAGTATAATTATGTTTTCCTGGGCTTTGCCTTTGAATTTATTTTGAAGAAAAAATGATATGTGATGAAAAATAAAATTGAATGCTAAATTTTTATTTTTATCCACAAAAAGCCAAATTTTGGTGCCCAATGTTTTCGACATTTATTTTCCTAAGGCTTATTGATGTATCTTCCTTGTCTGTCAGGAAATTTTCCTTGACAAACATCAGCGAGGCCTCCTAGAGTAAGATCTAATCTATATGCCTCTTCCACATATTTGGCAAGTAGTCTGTAAATGTCATTTACACAATATTTATATGACCTGCTACCCTTTGCCATTCTGTCCTTGTAAATTTCTTACCCACATCTCTATCACATTGTACTGGATTATTCTTTGTTAGTAGATTGGGAGCTCTTTTAGGTTAAACACATGCCTTACAGTCAGGTCCTATATCAGTAGTGATACTAGATAACAATAGTAATAGTAAAACGAGCTTTTTTCTTCAACTTCCAGTAAGTAGCAGTCCTTGGGCTAAGCATTTTACAAGGTTCATATCATTTCTTTTTTTAAATTTTATATACTTAAAAAAAATTTTTTTTATTGTTGTTGTTGAGGCAGAGTCTCACTCTGTTGTCCTGGGTAAGAGTGTCATGGCATCATAGCTCACATCAACCTCAGACTCTTGGGTTCAAGTGATCCTCTTGCCTTAGCCTCCCTAGTAGCTGGAACTAAAGGCAGATGCCCAGATGTCTGACTAGTTTTCTATTTTTAGTAGAGATGGGGGTCTCACTTTTGTTCAGGCTGGTCTCCAACTCCTGAGCTCAAGTGATCCACCAGCCTCAGCCTCTCAAAGGGTTAGGATTATAGGCATGAGCCACCATACCTGACCGGTTCATATAGTTTCTCATAACTATGTAAGGCATGAGTGATTGTTATTACTATTTTATAGATGAGAAAGCAGGCTTCTATGTTGCTTAAGTGCTTTGTCCCAGATCACAGTTGTTTGTGTTTTGAAAGTCTAATTCTGATGTCTTTACTCTAAATTGCTATGTTTGCAGAATGGATGAGAAAATAGTATTCCATGTTCATTCTTATTGGTATTCCCTTTCTTGGACCTCCTACCATACTTAGAGTCAGTGTCACAAAGTTTACCATTATTTTCTAATTGTTTCTAAGACCTTTTATGAATTGATAACTTAAGTCAATGTTATTCCATTGTCACAAAGAAAAACATTCTCTGAACACATTACTTTTCTTTATCATAAATTCAGTGAATTTTTTTTAAAGCAGCCAATCCCCCTGTGGTAGTGGTGTGCTAAAATTTTTCTTAAAAATACTTGCCAGACACTTGTTTCCCTTTGTTCTATAGATTACTTGACATAACAGAGTAGCACAACTTTTAGAATTAGAGAGCTGAGTACGACTGAGTAACGGTCTGACTCTAGATTAGTAGCATAACCTCTGTTTTTTCATCTATAAAATAAACATAATTTTCTGGTGCTCAGCTCATAGGGTTGTTCTAAGGACTCAATGAAAGAATCCATGTGGCTCTGCATAGCCCCTGGCACACACTAAACAACTTGAGAAAGTTGAGCTGTTATTGTTATCACTGTCCCCATGACTCAACCTACCCTTCACAACATTTTTCTTCTATTTACCTTATTTCCCTAAAAATATGTGTGTGAGTCAAACTAATGTCTTTGACTAGACCTTCTCTACTGCCAAAAGGTGTGGACACAACAGCCAGCCCTTGATGTTGGCAAGATCAAAGGCAACTTGAGGAAAAAGAGTTGAGCAAGCTCACCTAGGGACAGCACTCCTGAATCCTGTTTCATAAACGTGCTAGCTCATCAGCTCTTTCCCTTATCTCTCAGATTAGTCTCTTGGAATAGAAATGTTACTATAATTTTCATACTCGGTTCAAGATTGAAATATATTGCATCTGTTAATAGTTTCTCCATCCTGACTCCCCGGTTGTGAGAGGAACCCAAACTCTTCACATCCTTCCTGTGTGCTATTGTCTGACCTTTACTTAGAGAAAGAGAAGATTGTGTCTGTTACTTCTAGATCTGGTTGACTTCGAAAAGTTGTACTCTTTTTTGCAGAAGAAAGTCACACCTGCCTTAAATCTGTCAAAGAATCCCTAGCCACGGAGTCAGGAAACCGAGAATGGCTCATAAAAATCCTGGCTAGGGAAGAGCAGTCTATGGCTCTGCCTCTGCCTTGCCTGTAGATTAGGTCTGGCAGTCACATCAGTTGTGACTATTATGTGGATTGTGGTGGAGCCCCAGATGGTAGCGTATGTGTGTTGGGAGGAAGTTATACCATCTTGCTTTGGGGATACTTTTCCCTTTTCCCAGAGAGAATGGGAAGTAAGCATTGTGGGAGGCAGTGAAATCAGGCTTATTCAGTCTTACTTAAGCAAATGCAATATTAATACAGTCTCTATTAAGAGACTGTATTAATTTAGTCACTCAGGAAATATACCCAGATCCTACTTTAGTCACTCAGGAAATATACCCAGATCCTCACAAAGGGGAGAATGTTTTTAACTCATAGTTGTAGTCAAAAAATAAAGGAGAACTTTTAAGTTTTTCTCCCGAAGTTAAATGTATGCCAATAGATAGAAATGATTATTTTATGATCAATATCTTTTTATGCACACGAAGTTGGTACTTCCTGACATTCTCTTTTCAACAGGAATTCTCTGTAAGATTACATATTATTACAACAATGTAATTATTTCAGTAAACTAAGAGATGAAACGTATTCGGCTGAGTTTCTTCCTCTTTAAATTTCCTCTGCATCTCCTACTTTTTACTACTCCCATTCTGAATTCTCTGTTGTAGTCTGATCATTCACTGGTTGTCAAAAAGGATTATGTTCTCTGCTTTTTCTTCTTTTCTCCAAATGTTTGCCAATATATATAAGAAATCAAATCAAATCTATAACCCAATCCTATGATCATTCTTTGTTTCTGTTTGTTGTAATCCTATGACCCCTTCTTTTTTATGTAATTTCATACTTTTCTGAAAATAAACACTTTAAAATTGTATTGTGGATTCTGGTGGTTTTAAAATACAGTAGAACCTTCACAGTTGACCACCTCCTAGATTGACCACCTCCTTAAGTCGACCTAATTTTCACAAATTAGACATGCATCACATGTGCATATCTGTACAGTAAGCTCAGTTCCTGATATTGGCCACCTCTCTATATTGACCAGCTTGTTACAGTCCCTTGGATGATCAACTTAACAGAGGTCCTGCTATATATCTACACGGCTTATGCCTATAATCAGCACTTTGAGAGCAGGAGGATCACTTGGGGCCAGGAGTTTGAGACCAGCCTGAGCAAGAACAAGACCCTGTCCCTATAAAAAAAAAAAGAAAGAAAGAAAGAAAAATTACCTGGGCAAGGTTGCACACACCTATAGTCCAGCTACTCAAGAGGCTGAGGTAGAAGGATTGCTCAAGCCCAGGAATTTGAGGTTGCAGTGGAGACTGAAGTAGCTGGATTGCTTGAGCTCAGGAGTTCAAGATCAGCCTAAGCAAGAGTGAGATGCTGTCTCTACTAAAAGTATAAAAATTAGCCAGGTTACATGGCAAACATCCGTAGTCCTAGCTACTTGGGAGTCTGAGGCAGGAGGATTACATGAGCCTAAGGGTTTAAGGTTGTTACTATGAGCTATGATTATGCCATGGTACTCTACCCAGAATGAGAAAATAAAATAATAATAGTAATAAATAAAAATAAATAATACTCTTCCTTTCAGAAAGTAGAACCTAAACTTTGCTTAGTGTCTAGCTTCTAATAAATAGAATATGGCAGAGATGATGGAATGAGGTTAGAGAATAAAGAGGCCTTTGTCCTTGCCTTCTCTCTTGTATCATGTGCTCTGGAAGGAGCCAGCTACCATAGCATGAGGATGTTCAACAGCCCTGAGAAGAGGCACAGTAGAGAAAACTGAGAGGTACAACCAACAGCCAAAAGAGCTGAGACCTCCTGCCGATAATCCTGAGAGTGATCCTTCTTGAAGCTGATCCTTCAGCCCTATGGTCAAGATAACTAGCTCAGCCAATGTCTTGACAGGAACTTCTTGGTGACTCTGAACCAGGACCTCCTAGCTAAGTTACTCCCAAATTCTCAACCCACAGAAACTACAAAATGATCAGTGTCAGTTGTTTTAATCCATATTTCTGGATTGTACACTATTCATATTTCTTGCTATTTCAAAAATCAATCAGAACTATCTAAGGTGGTGGTTCTCAACCTTCCTAATGCTGCAACTCTTTAATACAGTTCCTCATGTTGCAGTGACCCCCAACCATAAAATTATTTTTGTTGCTAACAGCGATTGGGGGTCACCACAACATGAGGAACTGTATTAAAAGGTCATAGCATTAAGAAGGCTGAGAACCATTGCTCTAAGGTAATGCTGAAGGGGCTGAAATCTAGCAATGAATAGAAATAAAATGATAATATCTTGCCTTTTTTCCCTTCCCCTTTCTTTTCCTTTGGGGAATTGAGCGTTACATTCATGTTATCTAATTTTCTTTCTATTCCATTGGTTTGGATCCTAATCAAACAGCTCAGTATAACTATTTTACATATAAAGTATAGGAGCCTGATCCCTCTACAAAGTCTACTGCCCTTTGCTCCCAACCACTGAGGAGCCAATTTTACTGTTCCCTGGTTGGGGATGGCCTACCTTTCTTTCTACCAACTTAAATCTTACATCTAAAAGATATTTTAGGTCCAAACTCTGACAGACTTTCCTGATCAGCTTTGCTATTATAAAGCAATTTCCCCATTTTGTGAACTTGGCACTTTGTTTTTGTATTTTTTGACATGTATTAGACATTTTCCATGATTAATCCTATTTGAGTACAAGTCATCTCACTGTGTCCTATTTATCTTCCTGTCATCTTTCCCATGCATCCAAAACTCAGGAAAGTCATCCTAGGCATGGTCCCTTGAATCAACGTTACTGGCTAATACTGTAGTTTCTGGGCACCAAAACCCCATGTCTTTTCAATGGACTGAGATGATTATTAATTTTTTTAAATCAAATTATAGGAGACTCAAACTTGAAAGATTTTCAATTGATACTACTATTAGTTCCTATAAATAGAATGAGTGACTATTCTTGGTAACACATTCCACTCTTTAGTATAAGAACTAAAAAATAAAAACCAGAAATATTATTCTCCATGGACAAGAAAAAGGGATAATGAGAAAGAACAATTTCAGTTCATAAGGTATTTTGTGTGGACTTCAATTGTCTAAATGACATCTGGCTCTTGAAGTCAGTAATAACAGAGAATAGGAAACACTTTGGGACATAAAAAGAAAACATACAACACATTCTTCAGCTGTACATAAACATACTCTTTTACAGTTACATTATCTTTTGCTGAAAGGGAGGAGAAGGTTTTTACTACATACCACTAGGTTTCCAATGACCATGACCATCATGAAGACAGTAAGGCACATGGTTTGGCCAGCGACCTCCATGCAGTCCCACATGGTCTCTATCCACTCTCCACACAGCACGCGGAACACAATCAGGAAGGAGTGGAAGAAGTCGTGCATGTGCCAGCGCGGGAGCTCACAGTCACTGGAGATCTTGCAGACACATTCTTTGTAGCTTTTACCAAAGAGCTGCATGCCAACCACGGCAAAAATAAAGACGATGATGGCCAACACCAGCGTGAGGTTACCCAAAGCCCCCACTGAATTGCCAATGATCTTTATTAACATATTCAGAGTTGGCCAAGATTTTGCCAACTTGAAAACTCGGAGCTGGAAACAAAAGCAAGAAGGCAGTTAATCGCTTGCATTTGTGAAGAGTCAGTCATTTTACGTATAGGGAAAATCTACAATGTAACGCTCAATGGCAGAGTTATGAATTACTTATGTGTCAAACTATTATCTAGCAAATGTAGCAGTTACTTAATACCATGGGGTATTTTTAAATTTTGAAATGGCTCACAGAGTAAATAAAATAATTATATTATACAGGTCTTTAATTGGCATTTTAATAATAAAGTACACCAAAGTTTCCAGAATTCTACATAAGCACATATAATATGGTTTTGTTTTTCTTTAAGGAACTAAGATATCTAAGGTTAATAGTGGCTAATTAGCAGACATTGTTTCAGAGAAGTAGAAGCGCTCATATATTTAAAATATTTAAAATCCCAAAGTGGATGTTTTCTCAGTGTACTTGAAATAGCATGCTGAAATGAACAGGTAAAAACAATACACTTAAATTACATAAAGGACAGTATAAGCGAAAAATGAGCTAATTCCTTTTCAGTCTTTAGATTGCTTTCATCTAGCTATATCTTTAGCTTGCTGTAACATTAGGCTATATTTTACACTTGATCTTAGCCAAGAGGCTGAGAAGTGATAGACTATACTTTAAAGATTTAGTATACTAAAAAAATACTTGGACTTGAAGCAAAATCCTTTTCAAACTTTGTGTCTTCAGTGACTTAATTAATAGTGTGTAAATGACTCTCTGCACTGTGTTTAACATGTTGCTCGGATTAGCTTATGGAGGACACTGAAGTATCCTTTATAATTAAATAGCAGCAGCATTTTATTTCTGATGCTTCAATAAATGTCAGGATGAGAGCAGTACACTATTTAATGGCATCAAAGTGACCCAAAGGAACAAACATATGCACCAAAATGTTTAATTTAGTCCCACAAAATCATTTATGCAAAACAGTCTGACATAGGAAGAAAGATGCTAATGATATTATGCTTCCTATTTCCCTAAATTGAATATCACCTTATCATAAAGGCTTACTGAATAGCATTTTAAAGTAGCTGCACATATTACTTATTTTATCATTTCTAATTTTTGTGTTTCTTTTCTTGTATACTTCTAGCTTCAAATAGATCCGCAATTATCCTTAAGGACCAGGGAGAGAAACTGTAATTCTAAGGCTCTCCACGCTAGTGTGACCTTTGGAAGTGGCAAGGAAATCCTCCACAGTCTTCAGAAAAATCACCACTAAGTTTAACCACCTATAGGAACCTGTCTTTGGTAACTATGTACAACCTACAACTTCTACTTTTTTCTTGTAGAGACAAAGTCTCACTTTATTGCCCTTGGCAAAGTTGCCATGGTGTCACAGCTCCCAGCAACCTCCAGCTCTTGGACTTAGGCGATTCTCTTGCCTCAGCCTCCCAAGTAACTGGGTCTACAGGCACCTGCCACAATACCCGGTTGTTGTTTTTTTGTTGTAGTTTGGCCAGGGCTGGGGTCGAACCCACCACCCTCGGTATATGGGGCCAGCGCCCTACTCACTGAGCCACAGGCTCCACCCTGCAACTTCTACTATTTGAAAATAAATCACAGAAAGTTAGAATCAACTCAGGTAATAGCATAATAAAACATACCAAACTTTCAGTGGAGATGGATCAAGTAATATTTTCTCTTAATTTTAAAATTCAAAAATTCATGAAATATAATGATCAAATGAATGACTATTTTTTAAATTAACAAAATATAATACAAGCAACTCTTTCAAAGAACAAAGCTGGTGGCTTTCTGATTTGGCTGAAGGAGATGTATGGGGAGCTCTGTTGTTTATTTTCCTCCCTCATACACTGTCCCCTGTTCCAAGTCTTGACTCTTAAGGGGACAGGGTGGACAGTGAGTAATTCTACAATTCCAGAGTGCCCAGTAGAAAGCAGAGTCCATCCTAGTCCCAAAGAAGCCTATTAAATCTTTTTGCAAACTCTAGATAAGTGAGACTTGACTGTGGTGTTGTTTAGTTGTAAGTTGAGTCATCCAGGATTCCTTATTCTTCTCTCCCCACATCTCTGCCATTCAATCACTAAGGAGAGAAATGTTGACTGTTCACTTGAGTGAACTGAATCTATCCATTAAAGATGGATGATGATGAAGAAAGTACCATTAGTGATAGGAAAATTCAGTTGTTTTAGAAATGAATTCTAATAATAATATAATTATGAGAAATCTTATAGTTGTTATTAGATAAGAATGACGACTAATTACAAAATTAAATGTTATGGACACCCCCAGTTAATTTACCAGCCGGAATGATCGAAGAACTGACAATCCTTCCACGTTTGCCAAACCAAGTTCCATTAAACTGAGGCTCACAATAAAACCATCAAAAATATTCCAGCCTTCTTGAAAGTAGTAATATGGATCCATGGCAATTATCTTGAGAAACATTTCTGCTGTGAAGATCCCAGTGAAAACCTAAGTGAAAAAGGGAGTTCATTACATGAGTGAATACTTTTGAAGAGTGATAATTGTTGAGCGATTTAAATTATTCCCAACAAATAAAAATTAAATATTGAATTTTAAAGATTTGACATTATGATAAATGAAATATATAAATTCATTGTTTAGTTCTAATGTTTGTTTTGCAGATACACTAGGATTTTCTACAAATACAAAAGGTCTGACAATTAAGTTCACAAACTCATCCTAGATGAAGTGCTACACACCTTATTGTATCCCCCGGGAAGCTATGCAAGACGTCGTATGAGGTCTGCCAGTCAAGTGTGTGAACTTGCCACCATGTTCTTACACTGTCACCGCTGTGCAAAAAACTCAGTAAAGTTTTATAACCTTGGTCTTATCCATGTCTCACAGCAGTGTTCCTGTTGCTGTGTAGTGGTGTCTTGCTGAATGGTGTTCATTGTTGTTGCCTCTTTTTGTGTGACATACAATAAAAGTTCTGATGGCCATTCCAGAAAAAGAGGGCCAAAATTGCCTCAGAGAGTACACTAGGAGCCCGTGTTAGTGCATAGCTTCCTGCAGGGAGTACCTCGAAGATGACAATACTGATATTCAGCAACGAGGTATGTAGCACTTTTTCTAGAATAAGTTCACAAAATTTAATTGTCAGACCTTATATGAACATGTTGGTAAAATAGACATTTTTGTCACATCTTAACTTTTGTGCATTTTATTTTTGTTATTATCTCTATTACACTTGATAAAACATCCAGTGGCAGATTTAATAGAAATGGCAAAAAAAAAAAAAAATCTTTGTTTTTTTTTTTATTTTTTTATTATTTTTTTTTGAGATGGAGCCTCAAGCTATCCCCCTGGGTAGAGTGTCATGGCATCACAGCTCACAGCAACCTCCAACTCCTGGGCTCAAGCGAGTCTCCTGCCTCAGCCTCCCAAGTAGCTGGGACTACAGGCACCCGCCACAGCGCCCGGCCATTTTTTGGTTGCAGCCATCATTGTTGTTTGGTGGGCCCGGGCTGGGGATTCAAACCCGCCACCTTAGGTGTATGTGGCTGGCGCCTTAGCCACTTGAGCCACAGGCGCCGAGCCATCTTTGTTTATTTTTAGGGGCAAACATTCAATATTTTTTAGGGTTAAGCAATCAGTATTTCAATATTTCACTGATAAGTATTGTATTAGCTGTAGGTTTTCTTAGATGTCCTTAATGTCAGAAAGTTACTCACTAGTCCTAGTTTAGAGTTTTTATCATAAATCATTGCTGAGGTTTGTCAAATACTTTTTTGCAACTGTTGAAATGATCTTGTGTTTTTATCTCCTTTATTCCTTTGCAGTTAGTATGGTAAATTAATTGATCCCTTTTCAAATATAAAATGAATCTTGAAAGAAAGATTTGAAAGAAAACCTACAGCTAATACAATGTTCTGAAATAAACCCTGCCCACTCAAGAAGTACCTTTATATCTATTGCTGGATTTTATTAATAATATTCACTAATGATTTTTTGCTTCTATGTTCATGAGATGCACCCCTCTAATTTCTACATAAATTTCAACATTGTGCCACCTTATATAAAAGCCACAACATTTATATAAAATGTTCTTATCCTTTCAAATATTTTACACTTACATATGTTGTAAACTCTTACTTTAAACAACTGAGAATCTTTTAAAGCAATTAAGGAAAAATAAATAACAGTATTTGGTATGTACTCACATTTATTTATTTCTAGTGATCATCATTCCTAGACCTAAAATTCCATGTGATGTTTTTTTCCATTCAGCCTAAAGAACTTTTAGCAATTCTCATAGCATAGTTCTGGTGACAATAACTTCTCTAGGTCTTGGTTTATCTTAAAATCTTTATTTCACAGTAGCTTTTGATGGGTAGTTTCACTGTCTGTAGAGTAAGGGGCCTTTCTTTTATCATGCCACTTTCTCCTGGCCTGAAGTGTTTCCAATAGGTGTTGTTAGTTCCATATATACAATAAGTATGTTTATTGTGGTTGCATCCAAAGTTTTGTTTGTTGGTTTTCAGCAGCAGGACTAAAATGCATCCATCTGTCTATGTTGAGATTCACTAACATTTTGTAAGTGAAGATTAAGATCTGTAAGTTAATTATCTTTTACCAACTTTGGGAAATGTTTGGCCTTTATTTCTTCAAATATTTGTTTTGTTGTATTCTCTTTTTTCTTTTAGATTCTTTCACAGTGTATTACCTTTACTTGATATTGTCCCCTGTACACTCATTTTTCTTTTCAATTTGTTCTCTGGCATTTGAATTGGGTAATTTCTATTAATTTTCTTCAAGTCTGACAATTGTTTTTCTGATATCTGTAATTTTCTTTTAAACTCATCCAGTTAAGTGTTTCATTTTGGATTTTTTATTCTTTTTTTTTCAAAAAGAAATAGCTGACTTAGAGAAAATACAATAGAACCTTTGTAAGTTGACTACCCAAAGGACTGTAACAACCCAGTCATCATATGGAAGTGGTCAGTAAGGACCTAGGCTTACTGTACTGATTCATACATGTGGTGCATGTCCAGTCTGTGAAAATTAGGCCAACTTAAGGAGATGGTCTGTGTAGGGAGAAGGTCAGCAATGGAGGTTCTGCTGCATTTTATAGATTTTATTGTTGTATTTTAAAAAATTTTCTTTTTTTTATTGTCTGGGATTTATTGAGGGTATAAAGAATTAGTTTACACTTATGGTGGTTGTTAGGTACAGTCCTCTTACAATTGTGTCCTGCTCCCAAGAGGGTGCCACACACTGTGACCCTCATTCCCCTCCCTCCTCTCCTCTCATTGATCCCTCATTTCCTTTCCCCATGCCTTATATTAAATCATCTACTGCCTTCATATTAGAATTGAGCACATTGGATTCTTGCTTCTCCATTCTTGTGATGCTTTTACTAAGAATAATGTGTTTCACCTCTATCCAGATTAATACAAAGGATGTAAAGTCTCCATCTTTTAATGACTGAATGGTATTCCATGGTAAACATATACTACAGCTTGTTAATCCATTCCTGGCTTGGAGGGCATTTAAGTTGTTTCCATGTTTTGGTGATTGTAAATTGAGCTGCAGTAAACAATCCAGTACAAATGTCCTTAAAATAAAATGATTTTTTTTTCTTCTTGGTAGGTGCCTAGTAATGGAATTAAAGGATCAAATGGGATGTCTATAGTTTGAGTTCTCTGAGGATTCTCCATACTTCCTTCCAAAAAGGTTTTATTAGTTTGCATTGTAAAAGTGTTCCCTTCTCTCCACATCCACTCCATCATCTGCAGCTTTGAGACTTTGTGATATGGGCTATTCTCATTGAGGTTAGGTGATATCTCAGGGTAGTTTTGATTTGCATTTCTCCAGTGATCAGAGGCAATGAGCATTTCTTCAAATGTTTGTTAGCCATTCGTCTGTTTTGGTCAGGGAAAGTTCTTTTCATATCTCTTGCCCAGAAGTACATGGGATTGTTTACTCTTTTTCTGTTGATTAATTTGGGTTCACTATAGATTCTAGTTAACATCCTTTGTCAGATTGATACCCTGCAAATATCTTTTCCCATTCTGAAGGCTATATTTTTGCTTTACGTATTGTGTCCTTATGGCGGTACCAAATTATCTTGCTTACTTTATCTTTGTAGTAAAACATGTAGTATTTTTTTCAAATGTAATTTCTGTATCTGTTGAGATCATGTACAGTTTTTAAATTAATCTGGTATATTAAAAAATGTCCTGGATTGTCTCAACCTTGCATTATCAGAATAAATTCTGCTTTTTCAGGGTATATAATCCAACAACACAAACCATGTCATGTGACTTGGTTTGTTACTACTTTGTGTAGGATTTTTTTTTTTTTTGCAGTTTTGGCCTGGGGCTGGGTTTGAACCCGCCACCTCCAGCATATGAGATCGGTGCCCTACTCCTTTGAGCCATAGGTGCCGCTCTGTGTAGGATTTTTTTAAATCTATATTTGTATGCAACATGGGTGGTCTATTGTTTTCTATCCTTGTAATGTTTTTGTATGGTTTTGATGTTACTCTAATTCTAGCTTGATGGAATGAGTTTGGCCATGTTCCCTTTTATTCTATTTTTTGAAACAGTTTGTTAAGCATTGATACTAACTCTCCATTAAGCATTTGGTAAAATATACCAGTGGAATTATACGGGCTCAGGATTTACTTTGTGGGACGTTTTCTGGGAAATTTTTCATTACTAATTCCATTTTCACATGTAATATATCTATTCAAATTTTCTATTTCTTCTGGAGTCAGTTTCAGCTATTCATTACATTCTAAAATTTTTTTCTGATTTTATCTAATTTATTGGTATATAATTGTGTATAGTATTACTTATCCTCCTTTTCATTCCTGTAAGGCCTAAGGTGATACCTTCTCTTCATGCCTGATTTTAGTAATCTGAATCTGCTCCCTTTTGTCTGTGGTTACTCTATCTAAATATTTGTCAGTTGTGTTGATCTTTTAAAAGAACCAGTTTGGGGGTTAATTAACTTTCTCTATTGTATTTCTATTTTTTGTGCTAATTGGGGTCTGTTTTATTCTTTTTCTAGTTTCTTAAGAGGGGAGGTTAAATTGTAAGTTGTTTAATTTTCACGTATTTGTAAATTTTCATTTGTTTCTGTTATTAATTTCTAATTTCATTTTATTCTTGTCCGAAAAATAATCTGTGTGATTTTAATCTCTTTAAGTTTACTGAGGCTTTGTTTTATGACCTAACATGTAGCTTATCGAGGAGAATGTTCCACATGCATTTTAGAAGAATGTGTGTCCTGCCTAGATATTTTCATTTATTCTATGATTCATCTCAAATACAAATCTTACCTTTCTTAACATAAAACAAATAGTGATCTGAACTATCATCCTATTGTTTATATATTTCCAATGTTTACTCTTCTTCCTTCTGGTAATGGCATCCTATTGTTTCTTCATCATTCCACTCATTTACTCTGACTCCAGTCACAAGGTATGATTCCCATTTTAACCCTAGAACTATAGTGACTGACTAGCTTAGCCCTGGTCAAGTAATTCCAACCACATCTTGGACCTATTGTGTGAGAAGCACAATCTTTCTGTCCAGGGAGTCACACTGGTGGAATAATCTTGCCAGCAATAGGAGAGTACCCAGCTAGAGATAAAGGAAACATGATAGGAAGAAGTAGGGCAAGAAGGAGATTCCCAGTGACATTGATTAAGAACTGGAATCTAACCAGGTTAGAAACTAGAGCTACTTCCAAATGGGCTTTAGTTACTTGAGGTAACTAAATACTTTCAGCTTTGCAGAAGTTCATTTAACTTGCGTCCACCTCCATAAAGCCTTCTTGCTTCATTTGTCCATTGTTGAGAAATAATGTTAGAGATTCTTAGATAGGTGAAAATTTGGAGTAGGCAACATTACTGTTCTTTTCTATTATAAATTTCTGTGATTTTTGACCACAGCTTAGACTCTTAGATGGGTTTCAGACCTTCTATTGCTCTGTCAATTTCTCATGGGTAGTTTCCCCAATTGTTAAATATAGATAATGATAGATTCTATCTAAGGATTGGATTGTTTGGGAACCTAGAGAAAGAAATTTCATGAAAATCATTTAGTCCAGTACCTGATACAAAATAAGTAGACAATCTATGTTAACTTTATCATTTGATTTAGTTATGACCTATTTGAAATACAACAAAAAATATAGCAGCTACTTGAAAGCTTAAAATACTGCAGTTTATATGAGTACTTTAGAATAGAGATTATTTTTAATAGATATACAAGCTATTTATATAATTTTTCAGCTGGGAAGTGCTGGGAAATTTATAAGCATTTTATATTGGTGTCTGTATATCTTTGTTTTATGATTGTATTCATTTTTTGAAAGACCACTCTGCTTTCATCTCTATTACTTCACCATGTATCCGGTGACTGTTAATATATAATTTATATGAAAATAAACTCATCATTTATAAATTCCTAAAACTATAGGGGAAAAAAACACAATAATAGTAATCACCCACATGATGTTTCCTCCCCAAATATTCCATCTTTAGGTATTTACAAATGATATTTCATAATTACCTGACTTGGAATATTTTATACTCTGTTTGGTAATTGTAGACATATTCTAAAAAATCTATCCTAAATACCTAAGAAATACATTGGGACTTTGTTACCATAGACCAATCTCCATAATTCATAATCATCTTTCTAATAAATGAGAAATTTAGATTAATTCTAAATCAGATTTTATACCAAATATGAGTCTTTTATACAATGTTTAATGGTAGCAATATATTTTTAATGTTAAAAATAAGGATGCTAAGCTTTTGCTATCTAGGTATACATGGCCAATTAGTTTATATTTAAATTGAGAATGATATGTGAAATTCAATAAAGCAGTCACGAACCCTTCGAATGGGAATAGAAGCCCTCAGAGAGCCTTACCAGGTTTCCAACAGATAGCACATTACTGAACTGCTCCGTCATGGGATAATGCTCCATGGCCATGAAGAGTGTATTTAAGACAATGCAGATGGTGATGGCCAGGTCCACAAAGGGGTCCATCACAACCAGGTTGACGAGGTGTTTCACCTTTAACCATGGTTTACAACAGTCCCAGATCAAACACATGTTAGCAAATTTATACCAGCAGGGTGGGCATTTCTGTCTGGATTCTTCAAGTTCTGGAAGAAAAAAAGTTAAATTCTCATGAACACTGCTTACTTTCTATTAAGTACTCTTTGGTCTAAATTAAAATTAATTTTCCAATTGGATGGTGGAGCAGAGAAAACTTTTAATGGGCTTGCTATCATAGAACGGGTAGGCACAGAGAAGCCAGGTTGCTTACCAAATTCATTTTAGCTGAACTAGTTTCCAATATTCTATCTGCAATATTTAACTGTCTGGTTAAGTATCTTCCAGGCCACCAGAAACTGATGGGCAAAACTTTCATTAAGCACACTTAAAGCTCGTCCACGTTCTAGATACAGCAAGAGACACGTGTTGTCAAAGACTTCTCAGGAGATGTCCTAAAATTCTTAATTAGGTGCATTGAATCTCACTTTCTTGGATTAGATCTATTTTGAGGAGTCTTCTAATGAGATAATTTGTTGTTATCACCAGTCTAAGTCAAAAATGTCAAATTAAGTTGCATTAGATTATACGTTTGTTTATTAAACTCGACAAAGTTCCATCTCTCTATATTTCTCAATTTAACTCGAGGACACAAGAGGAAATCCTCAACCTAAGAAACTGACGCTCCTCACTGTTAACATCAATCAACATTTCACTAAATGAGACTCATCAACTATGGCTAAAATATAACAGGATTTTAGGAGGAAAATACATAGAATTCATAAAATTTAATGGTATGCATTAAACTGAAGACAGGAAATTTCATATTAAAATACATTTATTTCAGCAAACAGTACAATGATTTCAAGAAGATTTTCAACTAGATAATGGGAGAGAGAAGACAGAAATGCACAGATCGTTAAGGTAATACCCCAAATAGTGGAGTGGTATTTGGTAACTATTGGCAAAGTATTTTTGGTAATTAGCAAGTAGAAAATTATCTACCATTTTTCTTTGGCAGGATGATCTCTCAGTTAACTCCTGAATTGGGAGAAGATGCAGAATTTGTTGTTTTGTGCCAACATCATTGCTGCACACTTTTTTTAGCTACTCTGACAAACATGGGACCACCACGTCTTAACACTGAAATAGAGGGAAGAGTCCTTTTTTCATTGATGGCATAATTGACTCAAGTCAATCACTCTAATACCATTGTGGCAACTGGAAGATCCCTCCACACCTGTCTCAGTTAATGATATAATGTTTCCATTCCCCTAAAGTAATTCACTGCTTATTTTCTTAAACAAAATTTCATGAAAGGTAGATTCTTCGATTGTCTCTTTGGGCATGGAAATTTTTCAGCAGCACAGTTTATGTCCTCTTGTGTGTAATTTTGTAAACAATAAAAATCTTTGAGTTGAAAGTCAGATTAAAATATCATTTTTACACACTAGTTATTTTGTAGATATTTTTAAACTTCCCAATAGCCTCCTATTTACAATGAAGATAAAAAGAAGATATCATTTTTGCCGCAAATAATGAAAGAGAAACTGCAGTATCTCACTTTGCCTGTGCACTGTCAGAAAACGTTTTTATTTTCTTTCCATGCTAGCTGTCATTTAGCAGATAGAGAGAAGCAAACAGAAATGGCACAGAAAAAAATAAATCGTAGAAAAGTTGAAGGGGGGGAAATTCAGCAGGTGTTGCTCATCTTGACACTAGGAAAATCCAGAGCAAATTTGTTTAAGCTCTAAAATAAAATTGTTCCATTATTCATTCAAAAAAGAGAGAGAAAATCTCACACTTTGAAACAAAGCGAAGCATTCAGGTGAGAACCACAGCCACCTCTCCATTATTCCTCGGTGGGTTTTCCACACTGAGAATCATTTGCAGGTAACCGTGTATCATTGGCTGGCCCACCTTGATCACTCAGAGCCTCCTGACTCACCCTCCCCCCATCCTTCACAAAGAGGTGGCCGGGAAACCTTTCTAAATGATGTTTAAATGCAAGCAATCCAGTTTTGCTCACCTATTACTACTCATTAAACATGAAGCATTTAGTACTCTGGACAATGGAGATTTGGCTGTAGTTAAAAAGACAAAAAACAAAAATTGCCAACAGGATCAACAAACTTGGTTTATGAAAAGAGAAGGTGAACTAAACAACAATCAGACTTTGAAGAAAGGATTCCCAGATAAATCACATCAACCAGGAAATCTGTATTAGAATCAGCTGGATAGGCATGTATCTGCTATTATTGCTAATATCCACTCTCGACCAATGTAAGCTTAAGTGTTTAAATAAAATTGAATAAACAGCACCTTTTCATTCTACATAACTGGTAAAAAATAGAATCAAAACAGCCATTGTCTCTCACAAAAATACATAGTCCAAAGCTCTACAGATATTAAAAAACTGAAATATTCCCCATCTGCTGCTTTCTAAATTATATTTATATCTAGGACATCTTCTTCATCCTAAGCAACTCAATGAGATGTATTTCCACTGTGGAAGATGTGGGGCATTCATTTTGAGCTCCAAATCATAGTTAGTGGACAAGTCCAACCTCGTGGCAGTTTGCTATCTTTTAAAGTAATTTCTTACGTTAGCTCAAACTTAATGCTATCAGAAGTGCAAAGTATGACTGTTGATTTAGACTTACCCTGTCTCCTTCTCTACTTCCTGCTTTAGGGAGCAGGCATGCTGCTGACATCGGTAGCAGAACCACTGGCAGCTTCCTCTCAGTGGTTTTGCTATGGCAAGGAGCTGAAGACCAGACAATCTTCAAAAGTTTTACCTGGAGGGACAGGGAGGAGCAAGCTACTGGCAGCTGGGGGCGGAGAAGGGATGCAAACTAACGCAGGCGAGGTTGGGGAAGAACGTACTAGAGTTTAATATTCCATAGAAAACAGTGAAAATATTTCTGATACTGCATTAGGACAGTTCATGACGATTGGGTCTTGTAATACTGATTGGACTGTGACGTATGCGGTCACCTGTGCTGTGAATTTTTTGGCTGTAACTTTTAGGCTTTTAGCATTGATATTAATATTAGAGGATCTTTGCATTCATATAAGAAAAGACCTTTTCTAGTTATCTACCCAGTCTCAAGGGAAACCTTGAGAAGGTTGAGAAGTGCAGGTTTGTAGCCTTTCTCTCTCATTTTCATTCTCCTTTCTCTTTCTCCTTTGACATATCTACCCACACACATTCTCACACGCCCAGGAAGAATGGGTTGTAAAGAGAGAGAGAGGACAGAATAAGAGGTCGAGGGAGGGATAAAATACATGTGACAGGACACTTTCTTCCAAGTAGTTGAAGTTGCTAGTTGATGTTCGAATCCACTTACAGTGAGGAAAGGCAAAAACATGTGAATTAACAAAAATAACAATGAAACAACTAAAAATGACATTGACCGTCTCATGCTTACCAAGTACGCAGGTGCTTTATCTATGATGGATTATTTGATCCTGACAACCTTATGTCTAAGCATCCTTATGCACATGTTACTTATGAGAAAATACATTCCAAGTCACAAGTTAACACATTAGCAAGTGGCAGGCCTAGAAACTGGTTACAGATTAAGCAGTCCCCAGAGTCTTCATTTTGGAATTGTGAGATCCAGATTCTAAACGTTGTGTTAACTCTGCAGATAGGAGCTGCAGCTAAAGAGAAATCTGATATAATGTTACAATCTGGTCAGGAAAAGGCAAATGTTAGGACTATAAAATTTTGAATATTTTGCTTCAGTGGGGTTAATGCTAAATCATATCCTAACTTACATTTTTCACTTATATTTCTGGTTAAATTGTAGGATTTTATAACCTGTGTTTTAAGTAGTTAATACCATCCAAACCCATTAGCACTGTCATCATATAAGCATTTATCATTTATGCTCTTTACAACGTCACACACAAAAGTTTTAACAGTATACAATTTAACGGATGAAAGCACCTGAAATATACCTTAAATTGCAGCAGTTTCCTATAGGCTAAATGTAAACAGTCTATGCAGAATCTAAGGGTTGTACGTGGATTTTACTTTTACTTAGTAAAATACATAAAGATGTTATACATGTTATCAAGTTGGAAGGATTTTCTTGGAATTTCAGGAAGATTTTATTTTTTTCCTTCTGTCATTACAAAAGCACCATCCCATGTCTCTGGTACAAGCCCTTTGACATACCTTCCATGGTGTTGGTCAAAATACTGGCCATACTCATTGCTCTTTGCCTTGATGTGGGATCTTCCAGCAAATCCATGGAAACATGATAAGAACTGGACCGTCTCTTTCTTATTTCTGTTTCAGTAGTGGTGCCCTGAAAATAACATTTTAGATAAAATAACCAATATTCTGGGTTTTTTTTTTTTATTGTTTCAGGTTTATTGAGGGTACAAAGAAGTAGGTTGTACTGATTGCATTTGTTAGATAATGTCCCTCTTATAATTGTGTCTCGCCCCCAAGAGGAGAGCCATATACCATAACCCCCCATCCCTGCTCCCTCATTCTCCTGCCCCCACCCTGAATTGATTTGAGTTTTTCTCTTACAAGGATATGTGTTAGATCGTCTACTAATAAGCAGCATTTCTGAGGGCAATGAAACTTAAAGCATCCCTATAAAAGGTGTTACCTAACTATATGTTCACCATGTTTTCTCAGATGTAAACAACTTATTAAGATGCTGGAACTAGTCTGGGAGTGGTGGGGTTTGTTCCCATAGTCCCAGCACTTTGGAGGCCAAGGCAGGAGGATTACTTAAGGCCAAGATTCAATCCAGCCTGGGCAACACAGTGAGAATCCTTTTTTGCAAAAAAGTAATTTAAAAAATTAACCAGGTGTGGTGGCAATCCCAGCTACCAGGAAAAAAGGCTGAGGTGGAAGGATCACGTCAGCCAGAAATTCAAGGTTACAGTGAACTATGATCATGCCACTGTACTCCAGCCTGGGCAAAAAAAATGATCCTGTCTCTTAAAAAAAAAAAAAAGACATTGCTTGAATTATCATTCTTGGGAGCATTTGAAAGCCTATCAAATTTCAAGCTTTCAGGGATGCCTGGGTTTTCCTGGATCGGCTTTCCTATTCCTCCATCCTGGAGTTTTGGGTTAGAGGGACCATGTCTACTGTTGAAATTGGGTACATAATCTTTTAGCATTTCAACTAGTTCTACCTAGGACTTCAGAATGAAACATATTGTTTCTCGATTTACTCTCAAGTTATTAGATCTTTATAGATATATATTTATGTGATTTAAAATAGAAAAAACATTTAAAGTTTCCTTAATATACATCAGTAAAAGTTCTCCTAAAATGTGAATTCCAGTTGTAAAATGCTTTTCTTCTTTAGTGACAGATAACATTTCCCATCACCCTTAACAATAAAACTAAAATTTAGAACTAATGTATAACTTTCTCTTACACTTGTAAAACAAATGTATCCATTAAATTATCCATAATTGACATTGAAACTCTAAGGAGAGAACACCAATTTCAGGGGCTTCGATTTTTTAGCAATAATATAATGATTTGGTATTTGCCTATTTCCAAATAAACTCACCAAGACTTCAACATAGACAGATATTTATTTCTACTTCAGGAGATCAAACAGTGAAGTTAATTCTTATAGGAAAAAGGTATAAAACTAGAGTATTTCAGATGCAGGTCTAATGATAAATCATTTTCAGCTCTTAGAATTTTGCCTATTTCCGAAAGGACAATCTGAGTGTTGTTCATCTGTTTGACCTCTTGTGATGGGAACTACTATACATGACATTATTTTCTTTCTTAATCTGAATACTTTTAATGCATAGACAATCAAAGTTTCCACTCAATCTACATGATTGTCACTAACAGTGATAAATACACATATAAGTCACTCTAAAATTAATTTTAAGGTAAAAGGAAGTAAAATTAGTGAGGAAAGAAATAGCCCATCTCTGAAAATAAAACTCTTTAAGTCAAAGGGTATCTCTAAGAATTTAAAATACTTCCTTTCTTCAGAAAGGGGCAAAGTTGTAAGAAAAAGAGAAGGTTATGTAAAGGTCATCTAGTCCTCTCTGCTCTATACAGAACCATAATGTACAATCCTAGATCTAATTTCTAATAATAGATACCAAAACTGCTAATTATACTACCGAGGAAATTCTTTCTTAAGTTAAATTGCCTCAATTGAACTTCTGTGTAAAGTACAGAAACTGCACTTTGAAGGTGTCATTTCTCCATCACTATCTAGCTTCTATTTTCATTTCCACTCTGCAGTCTCTAAAAGCCGACTTTTTATCTGCACCTTCAACTCATCTTTACCACAGTGTGATGTCCTGCCTCAAAGCACCTCTGGGAAGACTGGAGAATTTTGCTTCAAACTGGTTCCAACTTTGCCTTCAGAGATTTATCCCACCCTCCCTGGATAGGACAGGAGATTCAGATAACTACTGAAAGATTAAATGGTTTCGGACAGACTGGTATTCTTTATTTATCCAAAGTAATTGTGCATTTGCTTTTTGTTTGCTTAATTAACATTTATGAACACCGACGACTGACATACTTGATCATGTATAAGAATTATATGCGATGCTTGCTAAAGAAGATTCCCTCAGCATTTCAGTCTAAGTCTGGATAGGCACAGAAATCTTCAGTGTTAAGAAGCATCCCAGGAAATTCTGATGTAAGCATTCTGAGAAACTAGTGTTAAATATATGTTTGTCTCGTTAACCATCTCTTCTCCTTTTAAGAAAGTTCAAAATAATTCATTGAACAGAAATATTTTAATATGGATAGACTATAAATTCAGTAGCCAGCATATCTGGGGTAAAATATTAGCTTCACCCTGCACAGTCCTCAGTTTCCTCTTCTGTAAAATGGGGATAACATTTGACTCTATCATAAAGGATTGTTGTGAGGGTTAAATGAATTAACACATGTGTAAGTTTTCTGGACAGGGTCTGGTACTTAACTAGCCATGACCATTTTTACTAAGAAAAAGAATGCATTCCCATTTCATTCTTCCTGGTTCCTTTGGTAGAAAGTTCTACTCTAACTCTAAAATACTTGAACATGTGTCTGGCAGAAAAATGTGGGGAAAAAAAAGTGAAAAAGGTCAATGGCTATTTTCATAGTCCACGGTAGGAAGCTCCTTTACCAGGTGACTGAAAAATAACTCCATGCCATTTTAACGTGGCCTAAAGGACTTGGCCAACTGTAAAAAAAATGAAGTTACATAAACAGAAAACTATACAAAGAGATTTTATTATAATTCAGAAAACTATAAAATGCAATCAAATGACATTGCTGGAATATTTTTATATTAGCAAATGAAATTTTATTTAATACTGATATTAAAATAGTCTTATATGTTATGAAATAAGTGTCAATAGTGTCTCCCTGTAGATGTCCAGTATTTGCAATCCTTTCCCATATGCTTCATTTGGGGGCCACTTTTTTTACAAGAAGAATTTATGACACTGATATAAAAATTAAAATCTACTCTAAAAATTATAACTCTGACTCTGTCCCAGGTACTGTCTGAGATACAGGAGTCAGGATCATTTGAGTGGAGGCTAAAAATGTCACACAGCACTCTGACCTGAAAACATAGATGATGGTCACTCCCAGGGGTCCTCAAACTTTTTAAACAGAGGGCCAGTTCACTGTTCCTCAGACCATTGGAGGGTGGGACTGCGGACCGTGGGACAAGTTGGCTGCTAAGCAGGAGAGGCAGCTGAGGCAAAAACACCCAGCGGGCCAGATAAAAGTCCTCGGTGGGCTGCATGTGGCCCATGGGCCGTAGTTTGAGGACGCCTGATTTAGAGATATTTAGTAAGAGTAACTCCTACAAGCAGAAATATTTAATTCTTCTTTTAAATAAATGATAACAAAATCCTTAAGATGTGTATTTATTTTATTTGTGAACATTGATTTCCTTGCATGTAATTTAATTCTGTTAATTAAGCATCATGCTTGAAAAATGGTTGCTTTGCTTTTTGGCAAGTGTCAGGCTGTAGAAATAATGATGAAGGAATACTTCTAATTATATTCTGGGAGCCAACCTAGGTTTTTCATTAACTAGTAGAAAAGTCTGGATTGAACAATTGACCAGATAAGTTATCGCTTGATTGAATCAACTTCAGGCCTTGAAAAACAGACTCAGCAAAATTCTCGAATGTGTACATCGGAAAGCCTGCACCAGCCACAGCTCCCTTTAGCTGACGTTTCGTTGGCCTTACCTCTGGCAAGAGCTGCCCAGCAGGAGAGGTGAGGGCAGAAGGGCCCCCGACCAGGGAGACCACGCCATTGCAGTCCACAGCGCTGTGCATCTTCCCGTTCATGGGCAGAATGGGCAGCACCCGGGAGGCGCGGCTGGCCTGGCTGACGTTGCTGTGGCGCCGCTCTCCGTGCCTGTGCGGCACAAACAGAGAGTCCCTTCGACTGTCGTTGTCCTCAAAGGTGCTGTGCTCATCGTCTGCAAAGTCATTCTCCGAGCCAACGTCCTTTGTTCGACCTCTGAAGCTGAAAAGGCTGGCCCTACTGTTGCGTCTTGGAGAGAAAAGGGAGCCACGGATGCTCAGTAAAGACTGTGAATAACAAGACAAAAGAGAAAACACAACACCCAAGAGAACGGCATTAATCAATGGCATCACGGGAAACAAGATGTGACTCCTGGTTTTCACAGCTGTGGACTGGGTTAAGGGTAAGTCACTGACAGGTGGAACCACGGGCTCCTGCGGCAGTCGCTGGCGGCGTTTGGTTTAAACCTCTTTTGTTTTGCTTTTCCTTCCTCCCCTCCTCTCATTTTTCATCGTCTTCTCTCTTATTTTCTTCTTTTCGACCCATGACTTAACATGGTACATTGTTTTCCCCTGTTACTGGCTCTTGGGACTGAAATTTTTGCTAGATCCTTCTCTAGAAGCTAATTTCTCTTAACAATCCAATGGGGGAACAGACACACACCTATGTTTATGTCCTTTCAAGCCAAAAGTATTGCCAAGAGACCCCATTAGTGACCGTGCTCTGATGAAGTCTTACCGCAGAGGAAAATAAAAGTAATCTGATGGGTAGGTCTGTCTAATAACAGTACAAGGAGCAGCTTCTGTCCTTGCTTGCATATTTTATAGTGTTCTTCGTGAATGAATTAAATCAAGCTGAAATAACTGTAGCATTTATCTCTTGATTTGCACTCTTTGGTATCTGGAAATCTGAAGAGCGCTGTATTGACAGAAACCTGGTTTCCGTGAAGAATTGGATCACACTCATTCACAGTTTTCCAGGTGGTGCCCTAGTCTCTGCCAACGTGCCATTTACCTTGTTCTTAACCACAGCAGCGCTGAGAAGACTGAATCGCTTTCTATACATTACTACTTTTATTATCTCGCTCTAGTGCGTAATCCTTTTTGCATATACAATACCCATTTCTTTTTCTGTTGACAGTATTCTAATTTTTTTTTTTTTTTCGAGAAATGTGCTCTAATACTCAGACCAGGTAATTTGGGAGATGTTCAAGCCAATTCCTGGATCCACCCCTGGGACAAAGTCCCAGGCCTGGACAATCAGTGTATTCCATGTTTCTAGCATAGAGAATAACTTAAGGGGGGGTGGCGTGAATCTTTCATGGTCCTTTACAATTTTAGAGAATTCTCTCTCTCTCTTTTCAGATAGTCACACTCTGTCACTCAGGCTGGAATGCCATGGTGTCAGTCTGGCTCATGGCAAACTCAACCTCCTGGGCTAAAGTGGTCCTCCTGCCTCTGCCTCCTACATAGCTGAGGCTACGGGTGCCTGCCACAACAATTGGATAATATTTCTTATTTTTAGTAGACATGGGGTCTTGAACTTCTGAGCTCAAGGGATCCTCCCACCTTGGCCTCCCAAGAAATTGCTTTCTCAGTTGGGGCTTCTGAAAACGCTGATATAAATTTGGGGCTACAGTGAGCATCTCACCACCATATGGAAGGAATTTGGACTTGAAATAAGGAGCAAGACCTGGTCATGGTAACATGTTTTGAGCTGCTGGGTCCATCCCTGCCAAAAGCTCCTCACAGATATTATTTACATGATATAATACATTCTCTTTTTTGATTGTGTGAGCTTCAGTTGCATTTCTATGATTATCAATGGAAAGAATATCAATATTTCATCACTTAATATTGTTAGTTTGAATTTTTCTTTCCAAAGAATTTAAAATCAACTAAAATTATTATATTGTACCTATACAGTTTTTTCCTTTATGAATTTTTTGTAGAGAAGGGTGTCTCAACATGTTGTTCAGGCTGGTCTCAAGCTCCTGGCCTCTAAATCCTGGCCTCAAGTGATCCCTCTACCTCAGCCTCCTGAGTAGCTGGGGTTAAAAGCACATGCCATAACAGTTGGCTAGTTTTTCTATTTTTGTAGAGATGAAAATATCACACTTGGTTAGGCTTATCTCAAACTTCTAGCCTCAAGCAATCCTCCTGCCTTGGCCTCCCAGGATATTGAGATCACGAGCATGAGCCACAGCACCCAACCTTCATCTTATATAGTCTGTATATCTATGACCAACAAGTATGTTTTTAATTTTCTGTTCAGCTGAAGGTTTATTTCTTCTCAATAATGTCCATTAAGTCTAACTCTTTTCATGTCTCTTTTTTCTCTTGAATTAGCTATGAGAACATAATAGTTAAGGATTTACAAGATTGGTGACCTATTGCTTATCTCAGTGCAAAGAGAATGGCAGACAGGAAATGTTTGCCAATAAAAAATAAAGTAGAAATTATTTCGTGTATCATTTTTAATAGGATTAATACTTTAATGCAAGTACTTCATTCAATGAGAACCATGGAGGGATTGGAAAGAAACATAAAATTGCATATGTTTGTCAAGGTTCAAAGGTGAGTACAAGCCATAAAAGAGTAGTTTCCATGTGACCACTATACAAAAATGATTGTGCCCCATCTGCTAGCATCAGCTTCTACTGCTTACATTAATCACATGAATGCATAGGAATCAAATGCTGTGCCAGAAATAAAAGGTGGCTGGTAAGAAAAATCCTCCCTATCAGATGAATTTCTCAAAACCAAAAATCCTGGTTTATCACAAATAGGAAGGAAAATAATAGCAACCTTAACTTATAAAGGTTCCAAAAACTTATCCAATTGTCTTAAAACTTAATTAGAAATTGCATCCTTGACTTTCTTCTCTACCCTGTCCCTCTGTAACGAATGAAGTCAGAGTGTAAGAAATATTTCATATTTCGCCCTACTCTATTGAAGCGATTATAATCTTGAAGTACAAGCTTACATTATATTTTTTGCAACATAAATGCAGAAATGGTTGCCAATCTAATCTCTGTTCCATTGCGTGACCACAAGATAATTGTTCATTACAATCTAACACAAACTATGGGCTCTCCATCCCTGTAACCCAGGTTAACCTTTACCTGATTTGACCTTTTAGCATTACTTCAGGGCTTTTAAAGTGGACTCAATGTGATTTCAGGGTTTCTCTCCTCCTACCCACCCCTTTCCCTCTCCTCCCTCCTTCTCAGGCTCTTATCCCTCCCTTTCTCTCTCTCTTTTCCTGTTTCTCTTTCTCTCTCCCTTTCTGGCCTCTTAGTTACTTTTTGACTATTTCTTTACCAGGAAAAATAAAAGTCTTTATGTTTCTAGACAGACTGATTGGGAAACAAATATCAATTTGAGCCAGAGATTCCATGTCTAGCAAGTCAGTGA